TCGTAAACATGTATAACTTCTAAACATGTTTAGACAATGGGGATCTCTTGTTTAGTCATTTGATATGACGCGACAGGGCATTGACCGTTGGCCATCACATAGGACATCCATACATTTCACAATGCTCGTCTTTCCTCAGATTTATTTGTAGGAGGACCCTTCAGCTTGTCAGGGCATTGACCGTTGGCCATCACATAGGACATCCATACATTTCACAATGCTCGTCTTTCCTCAGATTTATTTGTAGGAGGACCCTTCAGCTTGTCAGGGCATTGACCGTTGGCCATCACATAGGACATCCATACATTTCACAATGCTCGTCTTTCCACAAATTCATTTGTGGGAGGACCCTTCAGCTTGTCAGGGCATTGACCGTTGGCCATCACATAGGACATCCATACATTTCACAATGCTCGTCTTTCCTCAAATTCATTTGTGGGAGGACCCTTCAACATGTCTGATAGCTTGTCTGATAGTTGCTTCAATTCTTGTCACTCGAGACTTCAAAAGGGCATATAACTGACCCACCATAATTATTTAGCAAAGGTTATGTGGATCAGACTGAGAGAGTGCCTAATGCTAACCAAATCTTCACGACCGTGGATATGTTATATCATTTGATAAGACGTCTATTGAAGGGAGGTGCGAATGTGTTTGTATTGAGTGTGTGGAAGTGGGATGGAGGGGGGACTATCACGTTTGATACGTCTATAGCAGAGAGCGTGTGAGGAAGCGATTGCATTTGGTTATATATATTTATTGAAGTGAGCGTGGGGGATGTTGAGTTTGATGACATGTGAGGGAGTGAAAGAGTGTGTGTGTGTGTGTGTGTGTGTTTCTCCCCCACCCCCTCCCACCAACCCCTCACTCTCTCTCTCTCTCTCTCTCTCTCTCTCTCTCTCTCTCTCTCTGTTGTTATTTTGCTTTTGGTAACACCGCTTTGAAAAGTATTACAATTTTATCACCGCTTCTCCGTTTTATGCTAAAGGACACCCAAGCTATGCTTGTTAGAGGTTAGATTTTAGATTTTAGTATAGGCAATCTGAACATCATCCACATGATCCTTTAACGCCTAAGGGATGAAATGTAACGGCCTAGACAACTTGGCTATCGCACCTCTGATAAGAAATGGTACAACTATTAGATAGGTGAAGTTGTAGTGAGGGCAATATGCTGTTGAAGATGAAGAATAGGTGGAATTGAATTTCAAGGATTGGGTAGAGGTGGAAAATGTGAAGGACGTTTGTGATTGGGATGAATCTGGCACACGATCCTACAACCAGGGAGTGATTTAGAAATTACGCATGCTCATAATTAAGTCGGAATTGTACAATCGACTCTGCTTTATGTGGAGATTTCTATTGGATATAGAAAAGGTTTTGTCGCTTTATTTAGAGGAGATGCAAACGATGATGAAGGTAAACAAGATGACAAGGTGGAGGGTGAAGGAGAGGGAGGTTAAAAGAAGCACTGCCGAGAGGGACAATAAGAAAACATTGTGTAAAGTAAGGCGAAAGTCGAAAGGGAAAGTTACATATTTTGTGGGGCAAAATGAAGTGTTTGTTTTGTTTGTTTGTTTGTTGTTTAATGCCGCACTCAACAATACTCCAGCTATATGACGGCGGTCTGTAAATAATCGAATCTGGACCAGACAATACAGTGAATGATATCATGAGCATCGACCCACGCAACTGGGATAAGATGACATACATCAACCAAGTCAGCGAGCCTGACCACCCGATCCCGTTAGTCGCCTTTTACGACAAGCATAGTCGCCTTTTACGGCAAGTATGGGTTGCTGAAGACCTATTCTACCCCGGATCTTCACGGGTCACAAAATGAAGTGAGGTGGACACACTTAATGTTATTGCCTTGGATACGCTTTCTCGTTTGTTCCCAAGGAGTACATTTCTACGAAATTTGGGATTAGTAATCAATAAAATAATTAATTAGTTTTATCACGATGGTCCAATATTCGCGCAGTGTCCAATCACCGATTAGTGTACGTATTCACATTGAGTGATGACGTCACATAAACTGGTTTTGAGCGACTGTCGGGCAGTCTTTGCTTAAGTGCCAAATTGTAGAACTGTTCATTGTTTCACGGTTCCCGCATAATAAACATAAACAATAAAATAATCATACTTCAAGCTTTGTTCATGCTTCAACTCCCATACATTCCACAGCAGTTAGGTGCACGAAAAATGATGACGTATGTCACAAACCGCAATTTTTGTTTCATCTGCTAGAGGGGCGGCCGGGTAGCCTTGCGGTTAAAGCGTTCGCTCGTCACTCCGAAGACAATTCGATTCCCGACATGGGTACAATGTGTGAAGCCCATTTCTGGTGTCCCCCGCCGTGATATTGCTGGAATATTGCTAAAAGCGGCCTAAAACCATACTCACTCATTCACCTGCTAGAGAAGCGATGAGCGTTGATTCTAGGTACCCACAACACATTCGCATACGTAGGACTTTCATATTTACACTTGCAATGTAAATATGAAATGAAAAGTTTGGAATAGCCATTCAAATGGCAAGTCTTACGCGTGCGAAAACGGATATCGCGTGGATATAACGCGTTCTGTTGAAGACAAGATTCTAGTTCAAGTGGGCCCCTTATCCTCAACTTTCAATTGAGATTTATAATCAAATTACTTATCGTTACAAATTGTCATCCCATGATTGAAGTTAATTGTTGAATTGTTATCTTTTACCGTTCCTCCTTTTACCGTTCACGTCAAATACATTTGAATTGAGGTGAAGATCGTTCCCTCAGCATCCCCAAATGATGATGGTATTGCGTGAAACTGTCCAATTGAGACTGTGTGCAATACATTTGCCAAGCAGAATCATGTGGGAATTGTCTATTTTCCTGTTCTTACCCGTTTGCTAAAGTGACCCTTAATTCATTTAGATTCCTGATGTATGGAAGAAGCCAACGTACGTTCGGAGTAGATGTGTAATACTATATGTATAGTGATATATATGTACAGATGGATAAAACGGTGTATGTGTATCGATGTTGGTTTGAAAGCGTGATTCTTCATATGCGTGAGTGTATGCTTTTGCGTAGATGTGTGGGCCTGGATCCTGGTGTGTGCGAGCGTGCGTGCGTGCGTGCGTGCGTGCGTGTTTGTGTGCGTGTGTCTGTTAGTCGCGCGCAAGTATACATATTTGGATGTGGATGTGAATATGAAACAAATGTATGAACTTTCTAAATACAAAACAGCAAGAACTGACATTTCAGTCATTCAGAAGAAGAAATAACTTAAGATGTCAGATTTAAAATATTTTTGAAAATGAAGGGTCAAATTCAACACTTTTACAGTTTTGTAATATGAAAAAATGACTTGACACCATTTAAAATAATACTTGTCTCAGGAACCCAGTTAAATCATTATTGCAACGAAAAACTCAGAACTATTTGGTAGAAGATTGTTCAGATGTGTTCAAAACATGTGAGTGTTGTTAAGTGCCTACATATAATAAAATTATTATTTTCATGCACATGAACACAAGAAAAGGTCCTCAAGTTATTTTACTGAAGATACAGTTTTGGACTTGTATATCAAATTTTAATCCCGGTGCAAATTGATAGTAGCCTCGACCTTCACTGGTTTCGCAAACACCCGGTGTCAATCTTGAAAATGATTCATAAATGTATATTTTATATCAATTTTTCGCTTCCGTTCTTCAGTTTTGTTTGGGCTCGTTTCATTTGACAGTTATATTGGTAGCTCATATTTTATGTTGTAGGTACATGAATTTGTACTTTGGTATGTATTGTACATATGTGTGAGGTGAGATAAGATATGTATGTGTCTGTCTGTCCTACATATGTGTGTCTGTCTGCTGGAAACGGAGCAGGGAAACGGAGCTAGCAAAAGAGCGTCGATTTCTAACACTGGTTTTGTCTGTGCATGGTGTCCCATATTTCTTAATGTTAAAGTCATATATGTGACAGAGAGGAAGCTTACTGAAAAGTGTATTCAAATAAGTATTAGCAGCATTTAGCAGTACCTTACATGAAGAAGAATACAAAATAAACGGCTTATGTTCAGTATGTATACGTAAGAACCGTTAGAAAAGTTGTTAATCAAACTTTGATCAAGTTCACCAACGCTGTTAATGTGTTCAGTACTTAGTAAAATTTCACAACAGTTTCCAAAACTCCGAGTCAATTAACGCGTGTGATTTGTTTGTCCAGATATCGACCACTAAGTAATCTTCCCGATTATTGTAGTGAAATACCGCCGCCATCAATAGGCTGTCTCAAGTACAAAGTACATGTACGCATTAAACGATGATTTTGAACATATGAGGGGATGCTGGGGCGAGAGTAAGCTAATATTGACTCTGTTTTAACTAAATTCTAATAACTCCCCCGCGAATATGACCCAACTTTACAAGAAGCATGTATTTAAGAGTATAAACGCTCCATGGCACTTTTACAACAATGATAACCTGTCTCTATATTTTTAGATTAAATGGAATTATTAATTCATTGCGCGCACATTTAATGATACAATGCTGTAATCCATCACAAAGGGCGTACTTGATTACCCCGATCGGATAGAGTATCAGGGTGGTAATGTATCATATCAAAACTTATTTAGATAAAATCAAAGATCATTATTAACGTATGACCAGCCCATTTTGGTTTGGGTGATTTTTTTACGGATCCTTTTTGGTCGTGTAATGCCATACAAAAACACTTTTCTCATAAATACTGAACATTGTCACACAGTAGGGTTACCTGGTTTGATGTTAGCACAGGTGAAAATACACACATGACGCATATATAGCACAATTGAATAGCAGATAGCGGTTATCGTGGTTTTGTTACACGGCTCAACACGTTGTTACAATACCAAACTTTTACAGGTGAAGGAACTCGGATTGCAAGCGGTGGGAGATGGGAGCTGTCTGGTTTTTTTGTGACGGGTGGTAGGTGGTGAGGGGTATAGGGTTTTCTTGTGGTGGGAGGTGGGTGTGGAGTTACTTGACGGGGGTTGTTTTGTGACGAGTGGTGGGTGGTGAGGGGTATGGGTTTTTCTTGTTATGAGAGGATGGTGTTGAGTCACTTGACGGGGGTTGTTTTGTGTTCTGTGGTGAGGGGTCTGGGGTTTTCTTGTGATTGGAGGTGGGTATAGAGTCACTTGACGGGGGTTGTTTTGTGTTCTCAGGTGAGGGGTCTGTGGTTTTCTTGTGATTGGAGGTGGGTATAGAGTCACTTGACGGGGGTTGTTTTGTGTTCTCAGGTGAGGGGTATGTGGTTTTCTTGTGATTGGAGGTGGGTATAGAGTCACTTGACGGGGGTTGTTTTGTGTTCTCAGGTGAGGGGTCTGGGGTTTTCTTGTGATTGGAGGTGGGTATAGAGTCACTTGACGGGGGTTGTTTTGTGTTCTCAGGTGAGGGGTCTGTGGTTTTCTTGTGATTGGAGGTGGGTATAGAGTCACTTGACGGGGGTTGTTTTGTGTTCTCAGGTGAGGGGTCTGGGGTTTTCTTGTGATTGGAGGTGGGTGTTGAGTCACTTGACGGGGGTTGTTTTGTGACGAGTGGTGGGTTGTGAGGGGTATGTGGTTTTCTTGTGATGGGAGGTGGGTATAGAGTCACTTGACGGGGGTTGTTTTGTGTTCTCAGGTGAGGGGTCTGTGGTTTTCTTGTGATTGGAGGTGGGTATAGAGTCACTTGACGGGGGTTGTTTAGTGTTCTCAGTTGAGGGGTCTGTGGTTTTCTTGTGATTGGAGGTGGGTATAGAGTCACTTGACGGGGGTTGTTTTGTGTTCTCAGGTGAGAGGTCTGGGGTTTCCTTGTGATTGGAGGTGGGTATAGAGTCACTTGACGGGGGTTGTTTTGTGTTCTCAGGTGAGGGGTATGTGGTTTTCTTGTGATTGGAGGTGGGTATAGAGTCACTTGACGGGGGTTGTTTTGTGTTCTCAGGTGAGGGGTCTGTGGTTTTCTTGTGATGGGAGGTGGGTGTTGAGTCACTTGACGGGGGTTGTTTTGTGACGAGTGGTTGGTGGTGAGGGGTATGTGGTTTTCTTGTGATGGGAGGTGGGTATAGAGTCACTTGACGGGGGTTGTTTTGTGTTCTCAGGTGAGGGGTCTGTGGTTTTCTTGTGATTGGAGGTGGGTATAGAGTCACTTGACGGGGGTTGTTTTGTGTTCAGTGGTGAGGGGTCTGGCGTTTTCTTGTGATGGGATTTGGGTGTTGAGTCACTTGACGGGGGTTGTTTTGTGACGGGTGGTGGGTGGTGAGGGGTATGTGGTTTTCTTGTGATGGGAGGTGGGTATAGAGTCACTTGACGGGGGTTGTTTTGTGTTCTCAGGTGAGGGGTCTGTGGTTTTCTTGTGATTGGAGGTGGGTATAGAGTCACTTGACGGGGGTTGTTTTGTGTTCTCAGGTGAGGGGTCTGGGGTTTTCTTGTGATGGGAGGTGGGTGTGGAGTTACTTGACGGGGGTTGTTTTGTGACGAGTGGTGGGTGGTGAGGGGTATGGGTTTTTCTAGTGATGAGAGGATGGTGTTGAGTCACTTGACGGGGGTTGTTTTGTGTTCTGTGGTGAGGGGTCTGGCGTTTTCTTGTGATGGGATTTGGGTGTTGAGTCACTTGACGGGGATTGTTTTGTGACGAGTGGTGGCTGGTGGGGGGTATGTGGTTTTCTTGTGATTGGAGGTGGGTATAGAGTCACTTGACGGGGGTTGTTTTGTGTTCTCAGGTGAGGGTCTGTGGTTTTCTTGTGATTGGAGGTGGGTATAGAGTCACTTGACGGGGGTTGTTTTGTGTTCTCAGGTGAGGGGTCTGTGGTTTTCTTGTGATTGGAGGTGGGTATAGAGTCACTTGACGGGGGTTGTTTTGTGTTCTCAGGTGAGGGGTCTTGGGTTTTCTTGTGATTGGAGGTGGGTATAGAGTCACTTGACGGGGGTTGTTTTGTGTTCTCAGGTGAGGGGTCTGTGGTTTTCTTGTGATTGGAGGTGGGTATAGAGTCACTTGACGGGGGTTGTTTTGTGTTCTCAGGTGAGGGGTCTGTGGTTTTCTTGTGATTGGAGGTGGTCGTGGAGTTACTTGACGGGGGTTGTTTTGTGACGGGTGGTGGGTGTTGAGGGGTCTGGGGTTTTCTTGTGATTGGAGGTGGGTGTGGAGTCACTTGACGGGGGTTGTTTTGTGACGAGTGGTGGGTGATGAGGGGTCAGGGGTTTTCTTGTGATGAGAGGTGGGTGTGGAGTCACTTGACGGGGGTTGTTTTGTGACGGGTGATGGGTGGTAAGGGGTATGGTGTTTTCTTGCGATGGTAGGCGTTGTTAAGGGGGGTTGTTTTGTGACGGATGGTGAGGTGTCTGGGGGTTTCTTGTGATGGGAGGCGGTGTTGAGGGGGGTTGTTTTGTGACGGGTGGTGAGAAGTATGGGGTTTCCTTATAATGCTAGCTGGTGTTGAGGGTTGTTATGCGTAGTTACCGGGAGGGTGTTGGTTAGATAGGAGGGTCAGTGGGATCGTTGGCTCAAGAGTGAGAAGGCTTTATGCGTGACGGTGTGATAGTGCGTGTGGCAGTGTGCGTGTGACAGTATGGGTGTGACAGTGTGGGTGTAACAATGGGTGTGACAGTGTGGGAGTGACAGTGTGGGTGTAACAACGGGAGTGACAGTGTTGGTGTGACAGTGCAGGAGTGACAGTGTGGGTGTGAAAGTGTGGGAGAGACAGTGTGGGTGTCACAGTGTGGGTGTAACAACGGGATTGACATTGTGGGTGTGGCAATGTGGTTATGACAATGGGTGTGACAGTGTGGGAGTGACAGTGCGGGTGTGACAGTGTTTGAGTGACAGTGTGGGAATGACTGCGGGTATGACAATGTGGGTGTAACAATGGGTGTGACAGTGTTGGAGTGACAGTGTTGGGGTTACATTGTGGAGTGACAGTGTGGGTGTGACAGTGTGGGTGTGATAGTGTTTAAGTGACAGTGTGGGAGTGACTGCGGGTATGACAATGTGGGTGTGACAGTGTGGGTGTGACAGTGTTTAAGTGACAGCGTGGGAATGACTGCGGGTATGACAATGTGGGTGTAACAATGTGAGTGTGATAGTGTGGGAGTGACTGCGGGTATGGCAGTGTGGATGTAACAGTGTGGGAGCGACAGTGTGGGAATGACTGCGGGTATGACTGTGGGTGTGATTGTGTGGGTGTGGGAGTGACAGTGTGGGTGTAACAACGGGAGTGTCAGTGTGGGTGTGACAGTGCAGGAGTGACAGTGTGGGTGTGAAAGTGTGGGAGAGACAGTGTGGGTGTGACAGTGTTTGAGTGACAGTGTGGGAATGACTGCGGGTATGACAATGTGGGTGTAACAATGGGTGTGACAGTGTTGGAGTGACAGTGTTGGGGTTACATTGTGGAGTGACAGTGTGGGTGTGACAGTGTGGGTGTGATAGTGTTTAAGTGACAGTGTGGGAGTGACTGCGGGTATGACAATGTGGGTGTGACAGTGTGGGTGTGACAGTGTTTAAGTGACAGCGTGGGAATGACTGCGGGTATGACAATGTGGGTGTAACAATGTGAGTGTGATAGTGTGGGAGTGACTGCGGGTATGGCAGTGTGGGTGTAACAGTGTGGGAGCGACAGTGTGGGAATGACTGCGGGTATGACTGTGGGTGTGATTGTGTGGGTGTGACAGTGTGGGAGTGACTGTGTGGGTGTAACAATGGGTGTGACAGTGTGGGAGTGACAGCGTGGGTGTAACAATGGGTGTGACAGTGTTGGTGTGACAGTGTGGGTGTGACAGTTTGGGAGTGACAGCGTGGGTGTAACAATAGGTGTGACAGTTTGGGAGTGACAGCGTGGGTGTAACAATGGGTGTGACAGTTTGGGTGTGACATTGTGGGTGTAACAATTGGATTGACAGTGTGGGTGTAACAATAGGAGTGACAGTGTGGGTGTGGCAGTGCAGGGTTGATAGTGTGGGAGTGACAGTGTTGGAGTGACAGTGCGGGTGTGACAGTGTGGTTGTGGCAGTGTGGTTGTGACAGCGTGGGATTTGACAGTGTGGGTGTGACAGTGCAGGGGTGACAGTGTGGGAGTGACAGTGTTGGAGGGACAGTGCCGTTGTGACAGTGTGGTTGTGACAGTGTGGTTGTGACAGTGTGGTTGTGACAGCATGGGATTTGACAGTGTGGGTATGACAGTGTGGGTGTGACTGTGTTGGTTTGACAGTGTGGGTGTGACAGTGTGGGTGTGACAGTGTGGTTGTGAAAGTGTGTGAGTGATACTGTGTGAGTGACTGTGGGTGTGACAGTGTGGCTGTGACAGCGTGGGATTTGACAGTGTTGGTGTGACAATGACTGTGTGGGTGTAACAATGGATGTGACAGTGTGGATGTGACGGTATGGGTGTAACAATTGGAGTGACAATGTGAGTGTGACGGTATGGGTGTAACAATTGGAGTGACAGTGTGGGTGTAACAATGTGAGTGTGATAGTGTGGGGGTGACAGTGTTTGAGTTACAGTGTGTGAATGACTGCGGGTGTGACAGTGTGGGTGTGACAGTGTGGGTGTGACAGTGTGGGTATGACAGTGTTGGTGTGAGAGTGTGGGTGTGACAGTGCGGGTATGACAGTGTTGGTGTGACAGTGTGGGTGTGACAGTGTTGGAGTGACAGGGTGGGAGTGACTGCGGGTATGACTGTGGGTGTGAAAGTGTGGGTGTGACAGTGTGTGTGTGACAATGGGTGTGACAGTGTGTGTGTGACAGTGTTGGAGTGACAGTGTGGGAATGACTGCGGGTATGACAATGTGGATGTAACAATGTGAGTGTGAGTGTGAGTGGGAGTGACAGTGTTGGGGTTACATTGTGGAGTGACAGTGTGGGAGTGTAAGACTGACAGTGTTGGGGTTACATTGTGGAGTGACAGGGTGGAAGTGACTTCGGGTATGTCTGTGGTCGTGAGAGTGTGGGTGTGACAGTGTTTAAGTGACAGTGTGGGAATGACTGCGGGTATGACTGTGTGGGAGTGACAGTGTGGGAGCGACAGTGTTGGAGTTACATTGTGGGAGTGACGGTGTGGGAATGACTGCGGGTGTGACTGTGGGTGTGATTGTGTGGGTGTGACAGTGTGGGAGTGACTGTGTGGGTGTAACAATGGGTGTGACAGTGTGGGAGTGACAGCGTTGGTGTAACAATGGGTGTGACAGTGTTGGTGTGACAGTGTGGGTGTGACAGTGTGGGAGTGACAGCGTGGGTGTAACAATAGGAGTGACAGTGTGGGTGTGACAGTGCAGGGGTGATAGTGCGGGTGTGACAGTGTGGTTGTGACAGTGTGGTTGTGACAGCGTGGGATTTGACAGTGTGGGTGTGACAGTGTGGGTGTGACTGTGTTGGTTTGACAGTGTGGGTGTGACAGTGTGGTTGTGAAAGTGTGTGAGTGACTGTGGGTGTGACAGTATGGGTGTGACAGCGTGGGATTTGACAGTATTGGTGTGACAGTGAATGTGTGGGTGTAACAATGGATGTGACAGTGTGGGTGTGACGGTATGGGTGTAACAATGGGAGTGAAAGTGTGAGAGTGACAGTGTGGGTGTACCAAAGGATGTGACAGTGTGGGTTTGACAGTGCAGGGGTGACAGTGTTGGAGTGACAGTGTTGGAGTGACAGTGCCGTTGTGACAGTGCCGTTGTGACAGTGTGGTTGTGACAGTGTGGTTGTGACAGCGTGGGATTTGACAGTGTGGGTGTGACAGTGTGGGAGTGCAGCGTGGGTGTATCAATAGGAGTGACAGTGTGGGTGTGACAGTGCAGGGGTGACAGTGCGGGTGTGACAGTGTGGTTGTGACAGTGTGGTTGTGACAGCGTGGGATTTGACAGTGTGGGTGTGACAGTGTGGGTGTGACTGTGTTGGTTTGACAGTGTGGGTGTGACAGTGTGGTTGTGAAAGTGTGTGACTTATAGTGTGTGAGTGACTGTGGGTGTGACAGTATGGGTGTGACAGCATGGGATTTGACAGTGTTGGTGTGACAGTGACTGTGTGGGTGTAACAATGGATGTAACAGTCTGGGTGTGACGGTATGGGTGTAACAATGGGAGTGGCAATGTGGGTGTGACGGTATGGGTGTAACAATGGGAGTGAAAGTGTGAGAGTGACAGTCTGGGTGTACCAAAGGATGTGACAGTGTGGGTGTGACAATGCAGGGTGACAGTGTGGGAGTGACAGTGTTGGAGTGACAGTGCGGGTGTGACATTGTGGTTGTGACAGTGTGGGTGTGACTGTGTTGGTTTGACAGTGTCGGTGTGACAGTGTGGGTGTGACAGTGTGGTTGTGAAAGTGTGTGAGTGATACTGTGTGAGTGATTTGACAGTGTTGGTGTGACAGTGACTGTGTGGGTGTAACAATGGGAGTGACAATGTGGGTGTGACGGTATGGGTGTAACAATAGGAGTGACAATGTGGGTGTGACGGTATGGGTGTAACAATAGGAGTGAAAGTGTGAGAGTGACAGTGTGGGTGTACCAAAGGATGTGACAGTGTGGGTGTGACGGTATGGGTTTAACAATGGGAGTGACAGTGTTGGTGTAACAATGTGAGTGTGATAGTGTGGGTGTGACAGTGTTTGAGTGACAGTGTGTGAATGACTGCGGGTATGACAGTGTGGGTGTGACAGTGTGGGTGTGACAGTGTGGGTGTGACAGTGTTGGAGTGACAGGGTGGGAGTGACTGCGGGTATGACTGTGGATGTGAGAGTGTGGGTGTGACAGTGTGGGAGCGACAGTGTGGGAGTGACTGCGGGTATGACTGTGGGTGTGAGAGTGTGGGCGTGACAGTGTGTGTGTAACAATGGGTGTGACAGTGTGGGTGTGACAGTGTTGGAGTGACAGTGTGGGAGTTACATTGTGGGAGTGACGGTGTGGGTGTGACAGTGTACGGAGACGGGAAAGGTAGTTACAGTGGTGGTCATATCGACAGGTGTACACTGAAAAGGGCGTTATTGATAGTTGTAGTAGATAACACTGATGAGCCTAGTCTATCATTTCTATAAATATTGGGATACAATCAATAAATGCACGTTCCAGTCAAACTTCCAAGACCAATGAAATATTAATGAGTCGTTCTATCTAACGTTGGCCTGTTCCCTGAATTCCTCAAGGCATCAATTAATCTCATGTACATGT